TAATGATGAACACCTTTTCATGTGTTTATTTGTCTTCTTTGGTAAAGTGTCTATTCAACCTCATTACTCATTTTTAAATTGTGTTTGTTTTCTTTTTGTTGAGTTTGAGAATTCTTTATACATTCTGGATACAAGTCCTTTGGAGGATATTGAGTTTGCAAATATTTTCTCCTAGTCTGTATCTTGTCTCTTTATTCTGACAGTGTCATTGGCAGAAAAAAAAATTCAAATTTGGTAAAGTCCAATCTATCAATTTTTTCTTTTTATGGATTCTCTGTTTGGCATGATTTCTAAGAACTCTTTGCTTAGTCCAAGGTGCTAAAGATTTTATCCTGCTTTCTTCTAAAAGTGTTATAGTTTTTGTGTTTTTCATTTAGGTCTATGGTCCATTTTCAGTTACTCTTTCTATAAAGTGTGAGCTTTATGTCAAAGTCCCCCCCCCCCCATTTTATGGATGACCAATTGTTCCAACACTATTTGTTGAGAAAACTATCACTTCTCCATAGAATTTCTCTTACACTTTGTCAAAGATCAAATGGCCATATTTGTGTGGCTCTATTACTGGACTGTCTATTCTGCTATATTGATCTACGTGTCTGTATCTTTGCTCTGGGTCTCTTTTAACTAAAAAATAGACAAAATTGTCATGTTTTTGTTGTGAGCAATAGAGTGCAAGGGGTAAAGAAGTCTTCTGATGTGACCAAGAACTTTAAACAATTCCTTCCACCATCTATTTCTTGCCACCTCTGAATTCAAACATCACAGGAACTGAAGCGAACAGCTCACCATTCAGCTTCCTGATATAACAAGTTAATGAAACCAAATGTCTGCTTCCTTAAATGCTTTCCTCACTCTCTGGGGTTTTTTCCAGTGGTGTCAGCTGAAAAATATATCAGCCTCATATGGCACAGGGCAGAGGGGAAGGAGTGGCACCCTGACTTAAGGAGAAGTTTCTGGTGAAATATAACTCTTTTTGCCATCTCAGGAGATACAAAAATAGTAGCACCTTTTACCATTTGCTTTGAAAATAAAGTGTAATTTAAGCCATAGCAGGAGTTTCATTACATTGGCAACTGGTCTCTATTAAAATAAGTTTCTCTTACCTAAACAACAATAAAATGTTTAACCAAAAAAAAAGTTTCTGACTTGCCTACCAGCATGTGTCATTAAGAGGAGGTAGATCCAGAATGGCATTCTAGCGCACACAAATACAGGTAGATGGACTCACAGATAGACGGAAGCAGATCTTGAGAGTCCCCTCCCCCCAGCCCAAACCGAGATCATATATTATGTACCATTTTGTAATTAAAACAGATCATCTTTACTGCACAGAAAGCTGGGGTTGGCAGCACCAATTATTTCCTACTATTTTTTGTTGATCACAGACCGTGCAAGTGGTAGAGCCATTGATGTTTAGTGAAAATCTGTTTTCTCCCTTAAGGCTGGTATTGGAGGATTACTCCTCTTCCTAGATATATTAGGATAATATTAGAAACTAAGAGATAATGTGCTTTTTATTGAAATGGCCAGATGGGGCTGTGACTTTTACAAAGACATGTAGGTTTTAGCTCCCAAGATCCACATGGCATGTTCTAATTACTGGACAATTTTTCAGCAGTCCTGACAGTCTTGGACTGTGACTAGTGGCTTCCTACAGGTGAAACCACATATTAGCTTGTTGCTTTGCTCTTTCTGAGTTGAAGTCAGCTTTTCCAAGGGAAGTTTCCCCATCCCCTCTCCCCTTTTGTTAATTGTGCTCTCAAATGAACCAAAGAGAGCTTACTCATGATTTACCATTCAGTTTTCCCACTTTATCCTATGCCTGTAGGCTGGCTGGAATCAGATTGTAAAGTAAGAAAAGGGAGTACCTTGATTCATTCATTTGTTCATTCATTTATTCTACAGATATTTATTGAGCAACTACTATGTGCCAAGCACTGTGACCAAAAGATAAATCTTTTCCTTCAAGGAGCTTGCTTTCAACGTTAACAGGGAATAACAAAAAAACATAAAACAAAAAAAAAACTAGTTGCCATTGAGTCAATTCCGACTCATAGTGACCCTATAGGACAAAGTAGAACTGCCTCACAGGGTTTCCAAGGCTGTAAAACTTTACGGAAGCAGACTGCCACATCTTTCCTCTGCGGAGCAGCTGGTGGGTTCAAATCGCTGACGTTTTGGTTTCTTCGCAGCAGAGACAACAATCTCTGTCTGGTCCTCTGAGCCATCAGAGTGGCATCGGCTGGGATGGAAGGAAATGTTTGAAAGAATAAGTTAGTGTTTGTAACCCTGGTGAACTTTAACATATTTACGTATTTCAGATGAATTGGATTAAGGTAAACTTTCTCTCCTTCTTAGGATGAAATTCTCAGTACTAAGTAAACCAGTAACACCCACTGGTAAAAACAAACAACTATTACCTTCCCAGGACTACTCGATCATTGGTTTAGGATTTTGAATACCTTGTAAAGCTGCAGGACTTCAAACTATTCGTTCTGGTTTGAACCCCTGCTGAGAATTTGCAATTCTAACAAGTTCCCAGGAAGTTATACATAAGACAGAATCCTGATAAGAATCATCTGGGGATCTTGTTAAAATGTAGATTCTGATTCAGTATATCTGGGGTGGAAATGCAAATTCTCAGCAGGGAGCTTGTTAGCAATGGAAGCCCTGTAAAGCTGACTTTCGAAAATAAATTCTTTGTCCTCACAACAGAAGTTGAGCCACAGCTGGTTTACATTTTCATACTTGCGTTTGGTGTGAATCATGAGATATGAGGATACTTATTTCCTGAGGAAAGAAGGGAATCTGAGCTAACTTTGAATCCCTATCGGTGGCCTAGCATAGTGCCTTAGGCATATTGTTGCTCAATAAATATTTGTTCATCTAAGAGTCAATTAGTCAGGGATCTGTATCTACAAAGACAGTTGGTCTTTGCCAATCTGTCAGAGAGAAGCTGTCAGACAGCCTGTATTTGTGGGACTGCCCTATATTTCAGAACCTTTGCTGATAATGAACTGTATCATGGAGTTGTGCTTATACAACACCCCTATTTTCTAGATAAGGAGCCTTGCTGGCACAATGGTTAAGTGCTTAGCTGCCAACCTGAAGGTCAGTGGTTTGAACTCACTGGCAGCTCTGCAGGAGAAAAGACCTGGAAATCTACCAAAGTAAAGATTTCAGCCTAGTAAACCCTGTAGGACAGTTTTACTCTGTCATACAGGGTTGCTATGAGTCGAAATCAACTCAACAGCACACAACAACATTTCCTGGATGTGGCACCCTGGTAAAATCAGACTGTAGTAAGCTGCCATGAGCACATGCTTCTTCCTTCTCCTTCTCCTTCTCCCAGGCCCTGTTCATTGTTATCCCTGCTCCCATCTGGCAAGCGTACCTGGGCCCTAGCACATGAGAAGAATTCCGCTTAAAACATTTTGATCAGCTGCAGTACTGGAGCAATTGCATTAGAGCACCCACAGATGCAAAAATGATGCAAGTTTTCGCATCTGATGACAGGCGTCTGGGGTAACCTTAGAACGTTCGGGAAGCGGGCTCACCAGAGTTAAGGGCCTCTGGAGTTAATCATTACAGTGAAAGCAGAGGTAAGAACAAAAACAAGGGCACGTGAAAAAACAGGAGGACTTTAGTGAAGCTGAAAATGAGGTGAAGAGAGAATCCTGAATGGCATGAAGTTCAGAGGGAGGGACTCTTGTTCCGTCTGTGAAAAGTAGATTATTTTGGAGCTACCAAACAGCGGTAAGAGAAGACAAGGGAATAAGATTCTCAAATATTCTGGAGCATTTGGTGTAAAGGGGAGATTTAGAAGCAAATGGAAAATCAAGGCATTTTGAGGGGGCTTTTTAGAGGGCCGCTAGAGAGGCTGTAGCTTCATAGTATTTATGTCAACTACAGATTCGTAGAAGGTGTCTGTAGAAGCTGGACTGAAAACTGGGATTAATCAGGCGGGTGGAGCAGAAAGCAGAAGTGTGATGTGGTTTTCAGACGGAGCAGAATCTAGGAAGATACGCAAATCCTGGGGCCACAGAAAGCTGAGGGCTCCGGACAAGGTTGCTGAGTCATCAGAGGCAGCGCACGGAGGGTGGTCTGAACGAATACCTGCCTCTGGAACATTGCAGGGCTCGCAGAAGCAATGTAATTTTTTTTTTTTTTAGGTCATCTGATAGCATACTCTGTGATGTTTACAAGGTTCAGGGAGATCAGGCCATTGTGAAATTTTTTTCTGTAGTAAAACTAGCCCCAGCCCGTCAGACTGGGAATTTACTGCCTGAGCTGTTTTCTAACATGGGTTTTACTGGCAAAACCAGACATGGGTGTTTCCTCGACACTCAAGGGGCCTATTTACACTGACTTTATTTTTACTGCCAGCTTTCAAGTATGAAGAGGGAAATTATGCCTAAAGGTCAGCAGGTGAGCAGAAGGAGCCCTGTCCTGCCTTTCCTGCGGGTGCGTGTGTGTGTGGGGGGGGGGGTGTGGGTGTGGGTGTGGGTGCGCGTGTGTGCGTGTGTGTGTGCGCGCGTGCGCGCGCGCGCTTTTCCAAATGTACACTTGTGTCCTGATTTGGTTGACATGACCTGGTCACCTGCTTTTAGGCCTAATGATGGATGCCAGGAGGGTTATTTGGCAGTTTCCTATGTGTTTATTGTAAAGAAGGTAAATCAATCTGTGGGATTTTCTGGATTGGAAGGCCAGAGTTGTTTACTGTCAACAGGATAAGGACAAGGAGATATAAGATACTGAGCTCAGGGGTGCATCTAGTATGTATCAGGATAAGAGAAGAAAAAGGTGAGGAGCAGCCAACTACACGGTATTTCTGTCTTGGTGAAACTTTAAGTGTTTGAGTGGGAAATATAACTTTGAAAATTGCCCTCAGGTCGAAGTACCAGTCAATAGAGCTAAAAGGTAAAATTAGGCTGGACTCAGGTTCAATTTCATCAACTCATTTTATTATTATTATTTTTTACACTCCACAAAAGATGACGGATGGGGGTCTCACAATTCGGAAATGAGAACTTGAGTGAAGAGTTGAGAAGGCAAGTCTCTGCTCCATGTCCACATTTCCAGAGAAGCTTCACACACACAGACTGACCGTGCTTGGGCAGACTACCCACCAGCTTGGTCCTCCCACTGAGAGGCAAATCAGGAAGTTGTTGCTGTACCCAGAACTAGGTGAGAAGCCATGAAATCCCTGACTGTGGGAAACTTAGAAGATTGTCTACTGAGAAAGGTAAGGTTATATGCCTGTCTCTCCACACACCCCTTCCTCATCCACTCTGTGCCACTTCCCACTCCCACATCCTGATCCAAAAAAGATTTAAGCCTCCTTCCAAAGATATGTAAAATTCTCCTCATACTTCAGCCCTTTCTTTCAGTTTCTTGTGCCCTGAGGCATGTTGGCTGTAGAGTGCAGAACAGAGAGTTCGAACTTGGGTGGGAGCTCCAGCTCTGTCACTGATGTTTGTGTGGTCATGAGCAAGTCACAGTCACGTGACCTCTCTGAGCCTCATCTTTCTTCTCTGTAAAATGGGAGTGACAATAAAGTCTTAGCTGGATCACTGAAAAAGAGTTAATGAAATCAAGACAAAGTTTTTTGAAAACTGTTAGATTGTGAGATTTTTAAAAAAATATCATTATACTGGTATATACTTATTAAGAAGTAATTTATTTTCTTCTATATAGAATCATAGGGTCTTGAAGGGACCTTTAATATTAACTAATTCAACCCTTTACATTTATAGATGAAGCTTCTAAGGTACATTTAAAGCAAAAACATTTGAAGTGACTGAAAGTTAGAGACTAGTCTATGGGTTTTCATGCCTTTGCAGGTAAACAAAGCAGGGGCTATTATCATAGTGATAAGTAGATTTAGACAAAACCATTAAGTGATAAATAGGGAAAGCCTTTGATGATAAAATTACTGTAAACAAAATGATTTCCCATTATTCCTCATTTGGGGGGTTCTCAGTGGGAGAGGGATACTTGGCATCTTCCCATGGTCCTGTATTTTCTGAAAGAAAAGAGTCCAGATTCTTTAGTGTGGCATTTAGGTAACTTCAGCTACTTTGTCCTTTTCCCCTCTTCTCTTTCATTTCCAGTGGCAGAAGTTCTAAGACACATTGAGTCTAGCCTGTGCATGTTTTTTGCACAGCAGAGTATTTAACTTTTTTTTCAAATTTGATCAAACATTTGAAAACAGCAAGATTTAGCATAGAAATCCAGATATCCATCTTCTCTGGAAATAATCTGGATGTCTGGCAAATGCAGGGCCCAATTTCTAGCCCAGCAACCATCAGCTGAAGCTGAGCGTCTGTCAGACAGAGCATGTTCCAGAATCTGCACCACTCCTATGTCTGACACCTGTCCTGTCTCTCCCAAGCCTGCCCCTGTAGGTCTTTGAGTCTTCCACTCCTGCCTCAAGGCCCGAGCTACCCCTCCCCTCTATCTTGGAAAATCTCCTCTCTCCTCCCCACTCTTCTGGCTCATACTAATCCCTCAAACTCAGCTCGGAGTCTGCTTTCTCAAGAGAGACTTCCCTGACCCCCCAGCACAGAACGTTTTTGCCCTCCCATAAACTACTATTGTAATTACTAGTGATAATGTTTATTTAGTAATCAATTGCATATTGACTCCTGATCATTTTTCCTATTATTGTCTTGCTTGGTGATCTAATATTATTTTATTCTTTATAAGCTTCTGGAGAGAGGAACAGTGTCTTGGATATCTTTCTTTCCCTTGACATTCACAGAGTGTCTTGCACATATGTGGTCAGAAATATCTTCAGGGTTCATTGAAGGTAAACCAACAGCAGTGGAGGACGTGTTGGCAGGTTGAGGCACATACAGTATCTCATTTAATCTTATCAACCACCTGGGATATGTGTGTATATTACCAGCATTATTACAGAGGAAGAAGCAGAGGCTTCTGGAGATTAAATAACTTGCCCAGTGTCACCCAGCTACACAATGAAGGTGCTGAGGTTTCCTCTGCTAAACCCATCTGCATCTCCACAAATAAACACTGAGCGCCTGTTTTGTGCAAAGCGTTGTGCTATGGTTTGAAGATAGATCCAAACTTGGGATGTGGCCTGCCAAACGCAAGAGGAATTCTGGGATTCGGGTAACTTTAAGGATGGCCCTATCCCAGCTGCAGACTTTGCATATAGCTCCAAAAAGTAAAGGGAAGAAGTTCCACATGCAGACAGGCAACACTTAATATAACTCAAGGCAACTATAAGGGCTGCAATAGAGATTTGAACTGAGTGCTGGATGAGAGCAAAGGAGTATTAGCTCTGAAGGGAGAGGAGTGTCACAGGAATAGGAGTCGAGGCAAAGCCTTATAGGATGCATAGGGTTTTGCTAAGTGGAGAAGCACAGGACAGGCCTTCCAGGCTAAGAGAACCCTATCCAAGCAGTTGATGTGAGTTTTATTCCCATTTACCTTGTCTTTTCGGAAGGCAGAACAGGTTAGAAATATGGGCTTTGGAATTATACTGTCTCGGTGTGAATCCCTGATCCATGACTTACTGATTTTGGGACGCTGGGAAAATTACTTAATCTTTCTGAACTTCAGTTTCCTCATCTATAAAATGGGAATAATAATAGTATCGATTTTAAAGGGTTATTTGTAGGCTTAAATGAGCTAACTCTTATAAACTGCCCTGCACACAGTAATGACTCAATAATCTTAGCTCCATGATGCTGCTGCTGCTACATTTGGGAGCTGCAAATATCCTGTGTGGCCCAATCATTTGGCTCATGGAAGTATTAGCCTGAAAAGATAGGGATAGGATGGTGGAAAGTCTACTGCCTCATCTTTATCTGTCACTGAATTTAAGTTTCCATGCCTTTAAATTATTGGCTCCTAGAAGACAGAGATGACGGTGCCTTTTTTCTTTTCCTCAGTCAAAAATTTATACACAAATTGTTTCGTGACATTGGTTGCAATCCTGCATTCTGTCAACACTCTCCTCCTTTTCCCTTTCTGTCCCAGTTTCCCCAGTTCCATTTGTCCAGTTTTCCTATACCTTCCGGGCTTCTTGTCTTTGCTTTTGGGCAGGTGTCACCCATTTGGTCTTGTATACTTGATTGAGCTAAGAAGCACGTTCCTCACATGTGTTACTGTTTATTTTATAGGCCTTCCTAATCTTTGGCTGAAAGGTGAACTTCCGGAGTGGCTTCAGTTTTGAGTTAGAAGGATGTCTGGTGGCCATGGTCTCGGGGGTTCTTCCAGTCTCTGTCAGAGTAGAAAGTCTGGTCTTTTTTGTGAATGTGATCTTTTGTTCTACATTTTTCTCCTGCTCTGTCTGGGACCCTCTGTTATAACCCCAGTCAGAGCAGTCTGGCACCATCTAGTTCTTCTGGTCTCAGGATCATGTAGGCTGTGGTTCATGTGGTCCATTAGTCTTTGGACTAATTGCTCCCTTGAGTCTTCAGATTTTTTCAGTCTCCTTTGCTCTGGACTAGAAGAGACTAATAGTTGTATCTTAGATGGCCACTCTTTTTTTTAGCTGATTACTGGACTTAATGCAATATTAGAATTAAAGGTCTGACTTCCTGTTTTCTGGAAGGAAGTCCTCAGCTTTTTTCCCCAGTGGCACTCGTCATGGATGACAAGCCATGTGCTCAGGGTGTGACCAGGCTTGAGTGGCATTCCTGGCATGCTGTTTAGTGCACTCTCTCTCTCTCCAGAGAGCATATCGGAATATAAGTGAGTCAGAGTGATGTTATTATAGGAAATAACCTTGAATTCCCAATAATTTATATTTGAAAGAGTAAATTATTCACAAACTTGAGCTATTAATAGTAACAAATGACTTTTGGGACAACAATGGGCCATGGTGCTGTGGTTGGCGAGGAGGAGAGGAAAGTAGCTAAGCAAGTGGATGTGTACATGTGTACAGGTACGTGGACCTGCCCTAGAAAGAGAGGAGGCCCACACAAATGGAAGGCTATGGATGATACCCGAAAAGTTCTCTTTGATTACTATTTTTACATAAGCTCTGATTAATCAGAATAACTGAATCTGCATGCTAATAAGCATGGCATAACTCTTCTGAGGTCAGTGCAGTAGAAGGGTTGGACAAGGTGATGATTTAACCGCATCTAGTGTCTGTCTACCTGATTAATACAATTCATTTCTGTGTTTGCTCTGTCACATCTATAAATGCAGTCTTTTAAAAAGAAAAATGTACCTTTGTTAATTAATTCAATCAACAGAGGAGGTGCGTGAAACTTGAATAGGTACCTAGGTCAAGTTTGGATTGAATGTGTCTGATTTCATCGTCTTAAATTATCATACTTCCCCCTTAAATTTATTTTAAAGCTTTGCCACACAAAAAATTTGGTTTAAGGCTGACTCAAGGCTACTACTCGTCTCTTGATTGAGTCCTGAAGTTGGAGAGGCAATAAAGGGAGCCCTGCTGGTGTAGTAGTTAAGAGGTTGTCTGCTAACCGAAAGGTCAGCAGTTCGAATCCACCAGCCACTCCTTGGAAACCCTAGCGGGGGTTCTACTCTGTCCTATAGGGTCACTATGAGTCAGAATCAACTCCATGGCAATGAATTTTTTGGGTTTTCGGGGGTTGTGTTGTTCTACTTTGCAACACATGGGGTCACCATGAGTCAGAGTCTACTCAATAATAATTTTTTTTTTTCTTTCCCACATCTCTGGCTATACTTCCTGCAGTAGGCTCTTATTTATTCAGGGTCACTGTGCTATTCAGCAAGCCCAAAAGTGCTGTGGGTTTCCCAGGCTCACTCCCATATAGCTCTTGTCACAACCATAGTGTAAACCCCAATCCAGAAACCCCAGGCTGTTTCCCTTCACTTGTCCTGACCATGGCCTAGAGTGGTAGAGCAAGAAGATTCCATTTCAGGGTGTAGAAAAGCGGGGAGTGGGGCCTGAGGCAGTTTTACAAGGAGTGATTTTGGTGGAAGAATGAGTCCTGCAAACCAGACCCGACGCAAGCCCAACCCCAGAATCCCTTTATTACCTCTCAAACTTCAGGAAGCAAGTACCTCCTTGCAAAGAATTCCAATTCCTCCTACATCAGTTGCTATCTAGTTGATTCTGACTCATTGTGACCCCATGTGTGTCGGAGTAGGGTTTTCAGTGGCTGATTTTTCAGAAGTAGATCACTAAGCCTTTCTTCTGAGGTGCTTCTGGGTGGATTCCAACCACCAACTTTTCAGTTAGCAGTGGAGCACATTAACCATTTGCTCCACGCAGGG